CATCAGGCCGAAACCTATCCCTCGGGCCAAAGGCCCTCGGGCTAGTTCGGCCCTCAGGGCATTATAAGGTCCGTAACGCCCTTGGTACATAAATAGCTATTTAACAATATGTGTAAAATCTGCTTATTTCCAATACAATGACAAGTTTTATCAACAAAATTTTGCATACAAATGCAGTGCATTAAAATGGGTCCAAGATATGATTCCTATCAAAATTAATTCAGCAATACGTAATATGGAACCTCGATACAGGAGCAGCAGTGTCCCCAAAGTCTGAGCAGGAATTTAAAAAGAGATGCCCAAGGACAAAACTAAATCATACTAACGTAAAATTACGTACATACACGGGTGAAATTATACGCCCTACAGGAGCCGCTACAGTTAAAATAGACTATGATCAAAGAACTACAGGAACGTTGTATGTCCTACCACTGAATGTCGAAGCTATTTTTGGTAGAGAGTGATGCGCCAAGAATACCCTTTTTTGAATCTCCTCCGAATTACACTCAACATATTTTCCATGATTAAGCTCAATGTACTCATCAATAAAGCTTTTGTAGTCGCTAAATAATGCAGGATTCTTAATGAATTTGTTTTCTACAAACTGAAACCTTCTATAAGCAGAATAAAAAGAATCGCTCAATTGAAGATAATCCTTATTGCTGCTCATTGGAAGATCTACCTGAAAACCGCCATTTTCTAGCATTGTATATGATTGCAAAAACAAATCCTCACATAATTTGTCTTCTCTAGAGAAGAAAGTTTTATTCTGGAGTTCTTCCATCCGCCAAAATTTCTGAATTAATTCATCAATATCGAGTGATTCATGATCGCTAATTACGTCTGAAACTGAGTAACCTACAAGACGTAACTGGTGTCGTTGTCATGGTGTCTAATTGCTCTCGTTGTCTAATGCTGCTCCAAAAATCAACCAACCAAGTTCCGAATTTTGAAGAATTGGAAGTCCTGTACCTAATTTTATAACTTGCGAAGAATTATTTGCGGATACAAATCAGCAGATATCAACATGCCAATATTTCCCGGCCTATAATAAAGCGAATCTGCTAATTTCATCGCTTTGTCTATTTTTACCTTTCTGAACTCTACCCTCTCTATGAGGAAGAGTGGATGTAATTTTGTCCAAAACCGCAAATTGCGTTTTCAAT